AAAAAAAAAGATTGAGCAGATAATTCCTGAAGGAAGCGAAATAAATTCAGGAGGAACAGCGGGCTAACCACCAGGAGATGCATAAAAGTTGCCAGTCACATAGCTGAAGAAACAAGTAGTGAACTGGAGCCGAATAAAAAAAGCACAGTCCTATCAAAGTAACGAAATTAAATAACTATTCTGCCATTTCACCATGATTTTTTGAAAAATCCAGAAAATCTTACGCTTCCAGGAGACCATGGCAGTATAGTGGGTTGCCTGGCTATTGTTGGACTTACAATTGGCAGTCGTTTTGTGTTCGAACTTGACGAAATGAAACGTGGTGGAGCGGTAAAGGAATCATGCGAATCGCTCTGTGTCGACATACAGTGCAATAAGGTAATTTTATTGAGATGCTGGAGACAAGGTCACCACCCGAATAGGACAAAAAGTTTTAAAGTACTACTCTCGGAAGAACCTAGCGTTTTAAACAAGTAGTTGGTTCAAGAGACAAAGTGAACGTCAGAATCGCCAGCAGGCTGAATACCAAGCGATGCAGCACCAAACGTAGCAATTGGCAAAATTGCCAGCTAGATGCTAAAAGTATTCCATTTATACGCAATAGGAAAGGCCAATCGAAGTGCATATCAGTAGTAGTTATTTTTGGTATCGTGCTACTTCCGGGTACTCCTGAACACCTGCACTTTTCAAAGAGACTAAAATAAGAGGATTGGAGAGAAGACGAGGGAAGATACCCGTGGAGAAAGGTGATTTCGACTTGTGGCTTAATAAAACTCCCCTTCCCCCATAATTTAGTTGTTCCTGGCTGTGGATCTTTTCCTGAAAAATTCAGAATTAGAGCAGAAACTGAACTTACAAAATTTACAGGGGACTTGCATTGATCTTTACGCTACAGCAATATGTGATTGTCGTGGTACTCATCAGTCTGGAAAAAAATGTGATGAAGGTTGGTTAAGTCTGTCATCCAAATCTGAATATTTCCCGCAACAATACTTCCGGCTCTATAATCAATTCTGACTTGGATTTTGTCAATTCCAATTTTCGAGTTTTCGATTCGAAAAAAATTTTGCTTGTTGTAGCAATGAAAACAGCAAATGTTTCATGGGATCAATACATTGCATATACAGTGAGCGAGAGTGAATCGCAACCGGCTGTTATTTCTATCGATTTCAAGGTATATTTGAGTGAAAATTTGATTTCCCTCTAGAAATAAAGGCAAATTAAGTTAAGTAAAAGTACTGTCAGGCTTGAGTTAACGATTCATTTTCGCACTGGGAAACCCACCTTCTTATGATCCACTGTTTCTTTTTAATATTAACTTGTTACTCAAGCATGGTTGGAGGCAAGAATTACTTAGAGCTTAGTTGCTAGCAGCGTTCGAGAAAGAGCCATCAATAACTTTTTGGTATGCAACCAACTAGAGCTACTTCTGGATGAAGACACTCCGCTCTAAGAGAATGGAATACGGGATGGGTAGGGTTGACTTTTTTTAATAAAAATGTGTTTTTAAAATTTCTCCCCTTTTCTGGGATCGTAAGGAAAAATTATTTGTCCGAACTGTTCCTACCAAAATAATTTTGACTTTGGCCTATCCGTATTTATATCACTGTTCTATATACTCGTTTCTTTCACTTCATTTCTGCTCATTTTCACATACTTATAGCTGCTCATATAGTTGGAATACTTGGGTCAATTAGTTTTATACGTATAATATCCTTCATTTCGTTTACCTATGATAATCTTCATAATATAATATCTTATATTTTCACTCTCCTATATGCAATATCCTTCACTTTTTTGCTGTCAACGGCTTAAGACTACAATTTTATTATCATCACTATTATTGTTACCATTATTAGCCAAAAAAAAGAAAAAATAAATATCGAAATTCAACCCCTGCAACTGTCATAGCTTAATTCTTTCACGATGCAGGTAGTAACTTTTCCAGTTGTTTTGACCATTGCTACATTGTCTGATGACCAGCCTCCTGCTGCTAGCAACGCTGAGGTAGGAGACGGACTTGGGTTTTAATGATAACCAACAATGTTATTATAGAGCAACGTTTCGTTTTCAGACTGAAGTAAAGGAAGGTTTGATAATTCATGGAACAGTGCTATCACTGAAAGATAGCAAGCCAATAGGAGATCTAAAATTGGCACTAATTTATGGACAACTGAGATTAACAATAGCTGAAATTGCTGAAATAAATTTCGATAATGTTATCCTCAGTAGCGATAAGTAAGTCTATTTTCCATTATTTTTGAACTTCGGGCAAATCGCCATCCATGCAGATGATGCGTGCTGCTCATCTGACACTAATTTTGTCAAATGTTCACGAAGAAGCGAATCCATAAAAATTACCATTGCTGCTTCAATAGGTACACATTTATGCGTATATGCATGTCTATGTGAATGTGGCATGCACCTGCCTGTGCTATGTATCTGTGTGCGTGTATGTATGTGTCTGTCTGTTAATTTACTACCCTTAGTTACGTTTCTCAGGGAAGATGCTGTAATTCGAGTACCATAAAACGAATACTATAGAAAGGACAAAAAACGGAAATGGGAAATGCTCGCGACACGGAACGAAATGATTCTTCAAAAAGCCTGGAAAGCCTGGATCTCGAAAGTCAAGAAAGGCAGCTACTTAATTACCCATCAACTTTTGCAGACCGTTACGAATCAATGATCTTTTTGTGAAGAATTTAAAGGACATTATCTGCAAGCATTTGCTGAAAAACTAACTTAGTTGAAGATTAACTAACTCTAGGAGGAAATCGCAGTACCTGGGGCATTGCTGAACCCAAAATCGTGACGATAATCACTATTATGAGCCATTCACATCAACTGTCCCGACGGTCTTCGCATCCTTGGTACTGAAGTCTCAAATTTTTAATAGGACTTTATCACCTTTTTTTTCGAGGTACAATCAAATTTTGCTGGAATTTGATTACGGCCTGGATACAGTGCATATGATTTTTGATGGAAATAGGAAAACGACGAGCTGGAACACCGGGGATAAGGGATACCACATAAGGTGCTTCATGTGTTAATTTTTTTAAAATACAATTTGAAAACAATAATTTTTGGGTAAACTTCAAAGTTTTCGAAATTTCATTGAGTAAAAAGTAGTTCAAAATGTGCCTATTTTCCAAATTCAAAATATATTTTCATTTGAATTAAAAGTTTCTTGACATTTTGATCATCTGCAGTTCAAGGTCTGGTTCTCCACCCATGCAATTGATAACTTTTCTGCTGCTTTGACCAGTGCCGCATTGTCTGATGATCACTTGAAGGTTGCCGGTAGTTCAGACCATTTCAGTGGTCCCGCAAAACTGCATGCACAGTAGTAGATGATTGTATGTAAACGGATTATCTGGATGAACTAAAAGCCAGTTAGTTAGAAATCGGACTAACTAAACTATAAATATTGAAGATTTGGTAACAAAATCTACTTCTCAGCTGGAGACAGTGAAGTTGGCTTGTCCGGATGCTTACGAGCAATTTATGTTGGACATTTTGATGTCATCGATGGATATGTGAAAGGTTCTGGAAAGGTATCTTTTCTGCAATCAATTTTTTGGTAATTTTCCAGGGAAAAATAATTCAATTCACATAATTTTCAGGTAACTGCAAGTCCCGGACTTTACAGCTGTGACGGTTCTGCAGCTACACCTCTTGCAGCATCAAATTTACCTCTGCTGATCCGAGAAAAGGAAATTCCGGAGGAAATTTTAAATGACGAACACGAATCAGGGCCTAAAAATGATCAAGTGCTTGAAACTATCGATGAATCTGAACTGAAACAAGAAGCTGATGCTGAACATGATAACGGGGAGGAAAACGGAGACGCACATTTTCAGGAAGTAGGTGGTGGTGGAGGACAAATGATTCAGGAGCAA